AGCGCCATGTGAGTCCCACTGCTGGGTGGGGTGGCCAGCAAAGCACATGGCGCCGCACTGCTGTCAATGCAGCAGCAGCAAGGCACAGAGCAGAGGCTGAGCGCAGTCCACAGCTGCAGCCTGCCCCTGCCCTGTGCAAAGACCTGGGGCACCACGGGCCTCCACTTCTGGTTTCCCAGCACTGCAAGGGGGCAATTTGCTAGTAGGTACTAGAAATAGGCACATTAGCTTATTTTAATGTGCATTAGGTAAAGAGCACATTTTTTTGGTGACACTTTAATGAACGTTAAATAGGCTCATATGCATTAAAGCACACATACAGATGCACCTTAACTGCAAGGGCCATATTTTACATAGTTGAAGTGCTGCACAGACATTGACAAGTTAATACTGAAAGTCTGACAAATGGTAAGATATGATTAAAATCTTAATTGGACTTCCACATTGATGAACACAAAGAGAATTGTTTGTGGACATGAAATCCTGAAGACAGTTTTAGGCGGTACTAAAGAATGCTGAATTTTGATACTGCAACCTTTTTTCATTCCCTGAATTTAGGAGTCCTCCAAGTAGGCCTGAATCCATATAGTATCCTTGACATGAAGGTTGAAGACATGGTTGCACATAAACTAGTTTAAGTGAGCAGAAACTGGTTTAAACCTGTAACAGAACAGAAGTTCAGTGCCCGTAAACTGCTTTCAAAATGTCTGAAACCTGTTTTAGACAAATCTGGATGGATGTAGTATCAGACTTAAATGACTTATGTCAAACCAGTTTCTGGAGCATCTGTCGCAGATCCCTCCTGTATCAAGTTAACTCAGTCCCCTAGCATCTCAGGATTCTTTGCAGCCCAAAGCTATGCTATCTGCTATCTTAACAGAGCTGAAGTAGTAAAGCCTCTGCTCCCTAGCCTCTGCCTGTGCCTCTCAGCCCACCTTGGGGCCAAGCCGTGCAGGGCCATAATGAGGAGTGATAGGGGGGAACCTGCTCTTTGCACCAGGGGCAGGGAACTGCCACTGAGGCTGGGAGATCTGGCTAGTCCCAGTTTAGAGGGACTGTTCTCTGTGAGTGGATAGCAAGGGGTTGGGGGGCATGTGCTGGGCAGCCAATCAAGGATAGTTCCTGCTCGGCTGCATTTGGGCACCTTCAGCAGTAACCAGCAGGCCTGGAGGCATGCTTTAGTGCCCCACCCCCCCAGCTACTGGTGTGGGCCACTGCAGGGATCTGGCTGCATTTCTGGTTTCAAAAGTGAACATCGGTTCACTTTAGTGTTAGTTCAATCTACACAGTTTAGATAAACCTGCAAAGATTGAATTCATTCCGCCTGGGGCTGTTTGACTATCTGTACTTAGCTGAAAAGAAGCTTTTGAATAAAATTCTTAAACATCAGTGATCATTAGATTCTCGGCTTGTCTTCAGTCTCTGTTCTAGAAAGTCTTCCCTCTCTGGTCATTCTGTACTCCGCTGTTACAGCTGCAATGTGCTTCCAGCATCTACAGCAAATGAGACGTGGAATGTACCGAGAAGTCTTGCACAACCCTGATTTGGTCTCTGAGCAAAGATTTTATTTGCATTACTGTAGCATCTCTGGTATCCAGGACTAGAACTAATTGGGTAGGCACTGTTCAAAAACAAAAGAAAAAGGTAGCCCCCAGCCGAAAGAGCTTACCGTCCTATGATATGGACAAGCATGATGGTAATCCACGTGTACCAGGTGACAGACAGTTTTAATTCTGATGTTGCCTATCTTTCAAGAACTTAACTTTGCAACTTTAACATAAGAAAATACCTTTAAAACAATGCCAAGTTTTGTTTAAAAAAAGCAAACCCAAACTCCTGAATTCCATCCAGCAGATCCATATTTATTCTCACAGGGTTAGAACCTACATAGTTGCCTCTCAAATCTCTGCCATTTGAGCCAAGCAGCAACTAGTAGCAGTAATAGCTTGTCATCTTCTGTGTGAACCAGTTGCTAAAGAGAAATGAGGGGCATGGTTTTGCCAGTGGCTTCACTGCTATTTTCGGACAAGAGAAATGTTGATTCTCAAGAAAGCTGAGCTCTGTTCCCAGTTCTGGATGGGGAGTGTTTTCTATTCCTTTAGTCCTTACTACGGCATCTGTTAATACAAAGGAATAAACTCCGTTGCATATTGCGCTGGAGTTTATTGCTCCCAGGCACACTATTTGAATGTGCACCTGGGACCTCAGCACATTGAACTAGGTCAGAGTAGCACCAGTTAGCAGAGGGCCCGAGGGGTCAGTCTGCCAGCCCAGGGCTGCTCCAACATGGCTCGTCATGCTGTGGAGGGCTGGCTGGGGCACAAGGGTGCTCCAGCATGAGGCTAGCCAGCAGGCAGCCTCCACACCAAAGCACCCCCATACCCCAGGCAGGCGCATCAGAGTCTATACTTGCAGTGCTGCAGAGTAAAAAACTGCAGCATGGTAAAACTTGTATTTACAAATACTACCCTGCTGCAGTTTATTAGTTTAATAGAGCTGCATGTGTAAGCATGAGATGTTTACTGCAGAGCTAATTATTCTGCTCCACAGTAAATTTCTCATGTAGATATGCCCACAGAGTCCTTTATTTCATTTCTCCTCAAGCCAGAAACCTCCTACCTATGTGCCATCCAGCTTGTCCCTATCTCAGTCTTTCTACCATTGCACTGAGTCTTTTCACTTTCGTGGTCATGTCTGGTAACACTTGTAATATCTATCGAGTAAAACGTCAACATTTGGCTTTATATACTTGTACCAAAAGTAAAGCTTAGGGGGAGCTAGTGAGAAAATAGTGAAAGCTTTTAGTGAAAAATGTAAATTAAAAAAAAAACCAAAACCCTGACTTGATCTGTTGAGTAGTGTATGAACCTGCTTGTCAGTTAGATGACTCGGTGTAGGCATTCGGTGTAGGCACTTCGTGTAGCATTCAGTCCTGTGCAAAATGGGTTATGAGAAGATAATTTTGGTTTGGTAGCATTCTGCACCCACTTTTCACTTATTTCACGCTAACTTAAATCACTTCACAAAGTACCAGACAATGAAGAATTAGGCCACGAATTTCACCCTTGACCTAACCATACCGCTACTTAATCTGATGCTTGTTGGCATTTGTGAGAGCATTAGCTTCCTTGTATGTAGTTCCAAGGGCAAACAGTTTTTGTTGTTGGGTTTGTTTTTTGTTTTTTTCCAGGTAGCCATAATGTAGCAGTCTGTTTGGGCTTTGGCGTTTAGAGGAAGTTAGCCCTGAAGAGAGCAGAGCCAGGGCTTGCAGAGAAAAGACTGAGGAAGGGCCTCAAAATCTGATTGAGGAGGAGAGACAGGGATGGGACTTAAAACACCCTTTTGCATCCCTGTGACCTGCATCTCTGGCTGCCAGAGACCACTCTGGCAGATCTACTAAGACTTTGGAGTGATTCAGCAGTTAATTCCTCTCCTGACTTTCTGGTACTGGGGTCTCAGCTGCAGCTGCATTTTGGAATTTCCTTAGCAGTAGTGCTCCAGAGTTTACAGTGTGCTTGGGAAAGCCCAAATTTTTCAACCTTAATGTTTCCCAAATATATAGCAGCTGGCGAGCCTTATCACACACTGCTGCTGGAGGTGAAGGTCACAGGGTCTCTCCTGAAATACTCTTCCCATTGGAAGAAAGGATGCAAAGACTCCTGTGGGAAAGGCTGCTGAGTCAACCACAGAATGTGCTACTGCCAAAGCAGGGGGGGAACCTTCCCACTGTAAAAATAGCTGCACTAAAAACCCTAATATACTTAAGTGCTTATTTTTCCATGTGTCATCACATGTAAACCAAACTTCTGGGTATTATGACATAGCATTTGGCCAAAAATAAAGTATAACTCAAACAAAACTCATTCTGAAATTAACTTGTGATGGGAGGAAGGGGCAAGTATCCTGTTTTCTTATTTTCATTACGTTATTATTACCAACGTATTTCTGCAGGAAGACTAAAGACGGGATTGGTTTCAGGTCCCCATATTAGAACTGTAGTATTGGTTCATCTAAGGCAAGTGTTGTACTCCTTTACTGAAAGAGGACTACCTGTTATGGAAGAATTGGAACTGATTGCCCAGAGAGGTTGTGGACTCTCTATCCATGCAACTTTTTAAGATCCGGCTCAACAAAGCCTTTGCTGGGATGATATAATTGGGGATGGTCTGCAGGGGGTTGGACTAGATGACCTCCTGAGGTCCCTTCCAGCCCTAATTTTTATGATTCTGTTATTTTAATTATGAAGGGACTATGAACAGGGAAAGAATGTATATTAGAGAAAATTTATTCAACACATTTCTTCAAGACAGTTTTTTTTTTTAAATTTATGATCATATTTATTTAGTCCTAGAACATGGGTGACAATCTGGAGACAAAAGCCTGCCATTTATCCACAAAACAGATATGGGAGATTAGCTGCTGGAGAACGAGATTCTCTGTTTGTCCTGCTGATGCACCTCAGGAGCGAGGTGGAGGGGATCCTCTCACGTGGGAGTTGGGTAGTTCATTTCCTAAGTCTGTTAGGAGCTTGACCTATAGATTCATTTGTAGGGGATTTATGCTAGAAGAAATGGTTGGAGTCATGAAAATCATTTCATAGCAGGCATGGAACAATCAGCATACAGCCTAGACTGGCCACCATACAGTCTAAGCCCACTTTACACCCATGCTAATGTCAGTGGGAAAGGGTTAAGATCCAGTTGCCCGTCAACTAATATGTAATCTTAACCTTTAGCTTCTTTGCAGCCACCACCTTTTTATGTCTCTGTAGCCCTCATTGGTTCCACAACTCTAGACAGCATTGACATTTTTGAAAACCAGAGTTTAGCTTTTTGAAGGGCAGACCTTTGTTGGTGAATTGTTGGTGACAAAGGGGCAATATTTTAATTACAGTTTCTCCAGGTAACATATGGTGAAGGCATTAGGAGGGACAGTTTTGGAACAGGATAATAATGCAATTCTTCCCCCCACCCCGCCTCATATTTTGTTCTGCTTTGCAGAGACTCTGATCTGTTTTTGTTGGATACCCGGGCAGTGTGGGCCTCGGAAGAAGGCTGGCTGGAGTTTGATATTACTGCCACCAGTAACATGTGGGTGTTGAACCCTCAACACAACATGGGACTCCAGCTTAGTGTGGTGACCAGGGATGGTAAGTTAATCACCAGTATGCTTAGAATCATGCAGCATTCTTGATTGGAAATTGCAGCATTTAGTGGTGAGGCTCAAGGTAACGTCCTCAGCTAAACAGCTGTGATATGATAGCTGGAACTCAGCCTGATACAGACTGTACAGCCTAGTACAATCAATCTTGGCTCCTGGTCTTCCTTAGACCTAAAATACTTTAAGTACTCGTTTTTCTCAATATATGTCTGCACACAAGCACAGATTTTGTCACACTTTACCGTTGTTCCTGAAATGGAAAGCACACATGCTCCCATTAACTTCAGGACATCTGGAAAACAGGCCAGCAAAGCTGCTTATTTTCAAACCAGGGAAGAAAATAAAAGGTGGTGTTTGCTTCCTTCCCCCTTTTCCATGTACCATTTTTTTAAAGAAAAGAGGCACATTTATGATGTGTTGTAACAGCTTTAAAAGTCATGAAATAAATCAATGGCAGAAGGAAGGGCAGATCCCATTAGTCTCCATTTGTCAGTGAGATGCTTTCTCTGGTGGATGCAGTCCCTTAGATTCCATGGGTGGGAATAGCTTTGCAGACTGTGAGATGAACAACAACACTTCACAATCTATAAAGACTTCGGAAGAAGATGGAAGAAGGCAGGCTGAGGGGAAGGAAGAGGAGGAGAAAGAGGACAAAATACTGTGAACCTGAGAAAAAGGTAAAAAATACAGTAGAGAAGGAGGAGAGACAGGAAAATTTAAGAAGGGAGTAACAATAAGGAGGAACCTTGCCTTCCACCCCTTCCATTTTCTGCCTCCTATTCCTGGTAATTTCATAGAAATCAAGCAAGAGATCAGAGGGTCCACCTTGTCTTTTGACTAGAGATACCCACCTTTTGGTATGAACTATTGATGTGACCACACCCCATCTCTAAGCTCTCGGTGGCAAAGGTACATCTTTCACCTCACATTTTCTCTGGCCACTCTCCCCAGTGCCTTCAGTTCTCATCATCTCCAATTTTGCAGATTTCGGTTTTGAATTTATCTATAGCTATATTTATCTATACTGTATGGCCTTAGAAGACTGCATTCAGTCCCTGCCTTTAAGTGTTCATATTTCAAATTAATTGGAGACCATCAAGAAATAGGCCTGTGTGGAGCGGCTAGTATTCGCTTCAGATTTGGCTGATTCGAGGGACAGGGATTCGATTTGGTGATTCGAATCACTGTCCCAAATCGATTTGGCCAAATCTGATCAGCCAGGCCCATTCCCCCCCCCCCGCCCCTAGTACTTACCACCTCGGAGTTGGCGCCAGCTCCCTGCTGCAGCCACTGGGGACTGCCAGAATCCACAAAGCTCTCTGAATCTTTTCCAAAGATTTGGAGGGTTTTTAATCAATGCAGGCCTTTAAGTTGGTCCCCTGATTTAATTCAGATTCAGAGATTTGGCCACCGAATTGGGCCAAATCTCCTCCGAATCGAATCACCACCCAAAGCTTCGCACAGCCCTAAGAAGATACCCTCAGGGCCTGCAGTCAAGTGTAGTGTGGGCAAGAAGAAAGGAGAGACAACAGAAAATGAGGAGAGAGGGAACTTTGCTTGTGGGGAGAGCAGCTGTGTCTGTTGCTAGCAAACATTATTCTGTGGGTTCTTCCCCACCTAATGTACCTTTTTTTTTCGTTGTTGTTTAATTTGAAGGTCTCAGTGTAAACCCAAGAGAAGCAGGTCTGATAGGGCGAGATGGCCCTTATGACAAGCAGCCTTTCATGGTGGCCTTTTTCAAAGTGAGTGAGGTCCATGTCCGGACCACCAGGTCAGCCACAAACCGGCGGAGGCAGCAGAATCGAAATCGCTCCACTCAGTCTCAGGATGTTTCCAGGGTGTCTGGTATCACAGGTAATTTTTACATCCTCTCTTTCATCTAGAGATCCTTTTTTTTCTGATGCTTTCATTTGCTTTGATAGATGAAGGCAAAGAGAAATATTTGCAAGGGTCTGGAAGAGGAAGGCTCAGGTAATATTTATTTTTAGTGGGGTCATTCTAAATCCAAAGTGAAATCCAGGTACCATATAATTTCATGGGGTCACAATTTGACCCCAAATCTTTTGACTACTTGTTTGCTACAATTTTCCTGGAACAGTATTGCGTCTTTGGTGTGTTAGATCTGTGATTCTCAATCAGGGTGATGCAGCACCTTGGCTGCTGAGATCCTTTTAAGGGTGCTGTGGGATGCCATGCAATATCAACATGGTTAGGTGTACCAATGCACTGCTAAGTATGCCAATGTGTAGACATGATTCACAAGAAAAACCCAGTGATTTGAAACAGAAATCTAGAGTGTCAGATATTTTGACCTGTTGTGGTCTTTCTGAGTTCTTTGCAACAGAAAAATTGCTCTATTATTTTTCCGTAGTAAAAGCATGAGTGAAAAGATGAAGAGCTGGCATTTTCCAAGAGGGTCTTGAGACTGTAAAGGTTGAAAACCACTGTGTTAGATATTTAAAGTGCATCACCTCTACATGCTGGAATGCTGTGGCTGAGTGCATTGTGTGTGCAGCTATTTAGTGTAGTCTTGAAAGCAATGATGAATTTTCGGTTTAACCTAGAAAAAACATGGTAAAGTAGTTCAGTCCCCTTCCCTTGCCTTCTAGAAGAGTATTATCAAGGCAGACTTCAAGGCAGTATGAGGCTAGATTTGTCCATATAGGATGCTACTGAAAAAGATATTTCTTGGTCCATTGTTTAGATTGTGTTATCCCACCCATGACATCCCTCCACTAGCTTCCCCATCTCCAACTGTAATCCTTATTTTCACTCCCTGGTTTATCCCCACCCGGACTGTCACCTTTTGTCTATTCTTGAGGTGTTGGTTTTTGTCTCCATTCAGTCTAGGGCACCAGCCTCCACCACCACCTTGTTTAGATTTGAAAAATACTATTTATACTTTCTCCTATGCTGCCCCTCATTTGAGAGGAGCTGCCCACAGGGTTGGATCCAGGATACAGTTGTGTCAATCTTTGATTCCTGCTTCACCCACAGTTTAAAATAAAGTACCTGGCACTGGCAGGACCATTTCTATTCAGGCAGCAGTGAGGGAGTCTCTTGACTTCATGGCTCATTAAAATCTACCTGATATCTTCTAAACTCTTCATTCCATAGGTGGTAATGACCCTCTCTCCCTTTTTAATGATCTTATGTTCTGCTAATTAAGCTATTCTTTGTTTTGTGATTCTGCTGTCTTCTAGCTGTTCATGGTAATATAGATCATATTTCACAGCCCTATAGACAAAAACATTAACTCAGGTGTGGAAATAACTTTCAGTGAAGCATTGGATGCACTGCCAAGGTGGTCAAGAAGACTTGATTTTGTTTTATGAATCTGGTATTACATTTAATACACTTACATTTAAATACAGTTAATACTAATGACTACAAAACTAAAGAAACAACAGCTTTTGAGTATTTTTTGCCTAGTTTGTTGTATTTTGGAATACATAAAGAAAGCAAATGAATGAACATTCCAGTAAGATTATATTTATTTTTGCTTAAATCATAAAATGAATAATATAACCCTAGGCCCTTAGTGTATTAGTAAAGTTTATTGTTTCTTTTTACTGGAAAAAAATGTGTGTTTTGTTATACATGATGCATCATGGCATCTGTACCCCCTTTTCAAAATCCTAAATCCACCTATGGCTGACCAATATTGCCCAGTTTCCCTGCACCCTCCCATATGGGCAATATTGCCCAGTTTCCACTGCACACTTGTGCTTGTCAAGAGACAAGTACAAGAGACAGTTCTTAGCACAAGTTGCTGGTTCTCTGCCCCAAACAGCTTGCCATTTTTGTATAGTATCTCGCCTGTTGGGCCCCTCAACAAAGGTTGGGGCTTATAGAGGCCACAATATTATAAATAAGTAAAAGGGAATAGTGCACAGGGATAAAATGCATCTTTTGAACTCTGGACATGAGCACAATGAGATGAAGGCATAGCTGATAGGTAGCTGGTTTACATTCTTTATGCTTATTACTTTTCAAAGCCAAATATATATAGCTCATAGATATAGTTTTGATCTCAGGTAACTTATCACTGGACCTAACTTTTGCTTATCCTTATTTCTCTCCCTCAGGTCTGTTCATTAAAAATATTTAGCTTATATCCTTTTGTTAATCATACTTTTTTGTCCTACCAGTCTTTCACATAGGGATATCTGAAGCCATACTGAGTTCTTCTCAAATGCATAGGTACATGTAGTTTTAGACAAGATATTCCTGACCAGACCACATGAGAATGACTATTAATTTTTTGGACTGAGTTCCAGAGCATACAGGCAGGCTTTCCTGCTGTGTCAGGAGTCGCACTGGTTGAAGAACAGGGTTAAGAGTATAGCATTTACTTTCCCATGACAGCTGGTTGGAAAAGTCTGAAATGTGGACAAAAATGAGAAAATATGTTCTGTTTTCCAACAGTTCTGTATTACCTCATGGAGCCAAAAGTCATTCATTCACTAAGTGCCTGTTCTTTTTTCTGCATAAGATGTTTTTAGCATTCCTGAAGTAACAGACTGAGATTATTTTGCTTATACTGCCCCCCTCCTTTGGCAATAAATTCCTAGCCTTTTCTGTATCTGCAAATTAGGGTACTAAAAAAATTAAGACAGTACTTGCATACATCTATGGTGAGACAAAGACTGGAATAACTGAATATTGCTGCAACTGAGCTAATGTCAATCAGTATATTTGGAGATGTTAGTGCACACTGATGGTAACAGTGGTGTAGGAAATGCTGGTATACTCCGTGCTACTCTGTAACAGCTAGATTAGGTTTTGAATGTGTGTTTAAAATGTAGTTCATAGAGCTGAGGGTGAGGAGGGACAACTAGGTCATCTAGACCAACCACTGAACCTCACCCAGAATCTCCCTCTGCTGAGCCTAATAACTTGTGAAAAACAGTTAAACTGACCCCCTCACCCCCCACAATGTCACACTAAGCCTCTTAAATTCTCCCATAATGATGACCTGCCATGGAAAACAATGGAGGAATCATAGTTGCCATTACTATCGATGACAGTTGGCTGAAGTGGAAGGATGGTTGCTTTTCCGTAATCAGATGGGGTTTACTTGTAGATGGGAATTTCCCTTTCTTTGAGAAGTCCAAAATCTATGCAGAAGCCCATAAAGCCAGCAGGTTGGTATCAATCCTGCAGCATTGTTTGAACCAAGGGCATTCCCCTTCTTTTGCCAGTAATTGAATACCCAAGTCATTTACTCTGTTCTGTTTCTGTCTTAAAGATCAAAAGTCAGCTTCCCTTGAAGAGGGGATATTGCAGCAGTCATTACCTCTGTGCAATACCTCTGGCTGCCTATACTAACTGGTGTAAATGAACTTGACATTTATTTTGTATAAATAAGGAGACAAATTCTAAACACCACAAACTAAGCAGACAAATGCTGTCACCATCACTGTGAAGAGCAGAGGTAGCTTACCGAAATAGAAGTTGGGAACAAAGAAAGCTTTACACCTGAAGGTTAGAAAGTTGTCAGTCTCAGCTAGCTGTCTCTGTATTATCTGATACCACTTTATTATTACTATTATTATAATTTAGGTTTATATCCTACCCTAACCAAAAGGCTCAGAGTGGCTACAAGAAATAACAAAGAAAACACAGATAAGAAACAACAGTAGACTCCCTGAAGGATACCGCTCACTCTTCCCCTGCGCCCTATTCTTGCTTCCCTGCTCATCACCCTTAAGAGCAAACCCTTTGGCCAATCCCAACTATGCTCCCTAACCTCCATTCACATCTAGGTATAACCTAGTTCCCACTTCTCACCCTCATGCCCATCCACTGCCACTTCCCCTATAAGACATGGTTTCCTGTGAAGGTAAGAGGACTAGAGCTGGTGTTTCAGGAGCTTCCTTCCAGTCTTGGAAGAAAAGGAGGAGGAAAGGAGAGAGAGAGTGTGCGCGTGTGTGCACGCGAGTGACAGACAGACAGAGGGAAAGACAGAGACAAAAAGAATCCCGAGATTCTTTCTCTAGGATTAACTGTACAGGGGTCCACTCCTATACTGGTAGTATGTTAGCTCTGATTATTACGGCTTGCGAGAGTCTGGTGAGTGTACTTCACTTTAGATCCAAACCATGTAGAATAAAGGCCAGAACCTTTTCCCAGCCTTCAAGGGTGATTATTTTTCTTAGCTGGTCTTCACTGGGTCCAGCTTAGTTTTCACAGTGACTCCACGTCCTTGTTTCTAAAAGTGTGGGTCTTGATTATAGATAGACCCTCAAGATCAACTGGCCAAGAACATGCCAGTAAGTGCAGTTTATTCAAATAGATGTCACTATAAGTGGTTGACTGTGCTATTCCATCCCAAACGTAGAACTTGTATATTGATATAAAGCCAGTGGCCACTCTCTCAGGGTGGTGAGGGCTGATTTGCTAATGTTTTTACAGCACTTTTGAAAAATTAGTTGCCAGGTCTCATTCTTGAATTGGAAACTGGCTGTTTTGTGTTGATGATGCTTGAAGGAGAGATTCCAGCTTTCCCTTGCTTTAACTCTGCAAGCCTTGCTAAAAAAAAATTACAACAGTTAAATCAGAAGATATGACTCAAAGCCCCAGAGGGAGGAGATATCTTGGGTAAAAAGAGGCCATTTTTTTGTTGTTGCTTTTCAACCACAGTTCAGATTATAAAATTATAAAATGACAAAAGGAAAAAATAACTAGTAGTTTGGTGGTTTCAAGTGCTTTTTTGAGCTCCTTTAACTCAAAGCCAGCTTTAATTTAAAACCTGGAATTTGGCAGGCTTGTAGTCAACAAGGTATAGTTGAGCCTTTGTGGGTTTTCAAGAAAGGAGAGTTTAAAACTGAGATGTTTATTTCCCTGTTTTT